AGAGAAACAATTAGAAATTTTATTAGATACAATTAGTAATTAATTGCTCCTATAACATAAATGTTAAAAAATGTAGTAATCTAATGCCTAAATTTAAACAAAAATAATAAAAGTTAATGGTATCCAATTTCTTGTAATTAGATTTATGGATTCAAAACCATATTTATTCTTGAAGTTTGAGAATGCTATCTACATCCCTGAAAATGGACATTTTTTAATGAAATATTACGTTATTAAAACATTTTTTCTTTGTTATTTATTAACAAAAATTTTGGAGGTTTCTGAACATTTTGGAATACCTCAGAAAAAATGGATGTGTGTGTATGTATGTATGGATACAATTTTTCGTCCACGTTTCCGGGCGCAGGTATCAACCGATTTGAATAGTTCAAAAAACATTTGATTCCTATTGATAGGGAGATGTGCTAATTAGTTTCTGGCAGGGTTTTTGAGAGAACTGAGTATCCGATTTGAATGATCCAAAAAACATTCAATTTGTAATGTATGGGAGAAGTGGTGAATAGTTTTTGGCAAAGGCAGGTCCAGCCATTTCGAAGATACAGAGCTAAATATACAAAAAATGGCAGTATTTGAGTGTACTAAGCATCCGATTTGAATGATTCAAAAAACTTTCTGCTTATGTTGACAAAACAATTACTTTAAAAAAATATATCTATTTTTTGTATAATGAAGATAATTCAGATTTTAATTTTAATTCTGGCTAACGTTCTAAAGCTCACTTATATACTTCAAACAAATAATTTTAGCTTTACATTTCAGTTAATATAATTCTTATAAATACAGATCAATTGCATTTTATAATAAAAGAATGAATTGAGGGCGAAAAGCGCAACAAGTATAGAATTATTTCAATAATTTCTGTTTTCTGAAATATAGAAGTATTAATGATTTGAATAATATAGAAACGTATTTCTATGATACCAAAATTATTTTTATAAGCACAAACTAAAAATTAATTTGAACAATTGAGTTACTACCGAAACTAATTGCATTTTATAATAAAGGAATGGATTGGGTGCTGAAAGTGTAACAAGTTGAGAATTATTTTGAGAATTTATGTTTTCTGAGATATATTGATAACTTGAATAAACGTATTCCTATGTAATCATAAGCACAAACTAAAAATTACTTGCAACAAGTGCAATTCCATTGTGTTACCATTGATCAAACCTTTGAACTTCAATTTTTATTTACTTAAAACAATTATCAATTTATGTATGTTATATAATAATTTCTTGCACATTGTTTATCCAATGTATTCTCATTATATTCTACAGTTACAACCAACAATCTCACGATTTGATATATCATATGACTAACAAAATAAACGCATGTACAAGCTTTACCATAGGACTTTCTAAGAAACTTTGGACCAAGAAGAGGGCAATTTTAAATGTTATACCTATAAACGAAATATCAGTTAATGAAAATTATTTGTGTACTAATACGATGGAATTTTTATTAACAAAAAATTGTACATTATTTATATAAAGGTGACAAAAATAACTGAGATGTAGAAAGAGGAAAAGACTAGATTTAAATATAGTGTTGAATGTTGTACAGTTCATTAAAGGTTCATTATGTCACGCGAGAAGAAACATGAATTCAGGTTTGAAATTAATGTTTAAGGAGGAAATATAATTGGATTAAATATCAATGGTCAAAAATAAATAAAAATCGCTCTCCTTAGATATAACAATAATAAATTATTTGGGTATAGATATAAAGTTTGCATCTGATCTTTAAAACACTGTTATTTTATCGGTATCAAACAACGAATCAACAGATAAATTTAATGCAAATAATAGATTTTCTTCGTGAGTAATATTTCGAAATGATTTGAATGATAAATAATAGTCACGTATTTATTTTGCACTTACGTGGCCCATGTTCTAAATTTGAAATAAACAAAGAAAAGACGTAAATGAATATGACAAGCGTTCTAAATCATCCTCCACATAAATTTATCACATTTCCTCATACAAAACACATAGAAATTCACACCCAAACACCATAATACAAAAATAATTCTAATATTTTGTGAGGTTATATCTGAATAACATCAAAATAAATGTCAATTCAAAACGACAACTTACCCGGTTGTAATAGGTGAATGATATCCAGATATTTATATTTTGATCACTATTGTGGTTGTAATTATTAATTTGATTATTGTAAACACTAAACACTTGAATAATTTAGCCGCGACCGTTTAGAAATAGTTTGACTCAACTCTTAGTAACTCACATGCCGCGCGTCACAGCGCAAACTCGTATTTTAGTGTTGTACTAGGACCAATGAGGGCTCGCAAGCCCTCGTGGCGTGATGTCTTACGTCACTCTGACTTGGCTGCAGTGCCGATCAAATATGTCTGACAGCTCATGCAGCGACATCTGTGTCAATGCTGACAACTGCTTGGATGGCAAGGGCGTACACCAATAACGGAAACATAGCGGAAAATACAAAAAAATAATATAAAAACTGCAGTAAATGATATAAAACCCATTAAGTTGTATTTATTTATTACTTATTCGAGCTACACTTAGTTTTGTAACATATTTATAAACATACATAATTAATATTTAAATTAGGGTGTCATCTATTCATGTTATCCATTACCTTCACGTAGCAAACGGTTTTATAATTTCAGTTTAAATCCAGATATATTTTACGTTAAATTGAATTGCTCATTTATTAACAATTTGTGTTTTAAAAGCTTTTGTTAAGTAAGCTGCCAAGTTTTAATATTAACGCTTTATTAACATTTCAAATACTATTATTCATAGTGTCATTAATTTTACAAAAACTATATAATCAAGTT